GTTACCAACCTATTGAAGTATTAATATCTGCTTTTTACCATTGTAATACACTGACAACCATCAACCATCACAGCAGTGATGAGTCACATGATAAATCAAAGCTCATCACAAGCAATCTTCATCAAGAAAGTTAATACTATTATAATGAAGCTGCACAGTGTTATTCGCACAAACATTAAACACCAAAATGGTAACACACATGAAATTTAAAAAATACAATAAACATTAATTTAACAACATTAAATGTAACATAAAACCCTAATGTACAACTGATTAGAAAAGAACTAAGAAAGCTAAGAAGAAACATAGTTATTTCAACAAAAATAAATTAAATGTGAAGTGTCACGCAGGGAATTGTGGGAATGTCAATTTACGTTTTTTCACTGTAAATTATACAATGAGTTGTTCTTTTCACTTTCAAAGACTGTAAATTTAACGGTATTTTACAGTAAAATTACATTAAATGTACCGTTAGATCTATCACAGTTATTTACCGTATATAGTAAGGAAACTTTCTGTTAACCAATTAACAGTTTTGCACTGTAGCATTTTTACAGTCTTTTACCGTTAAAATCACGATCATTTTTTACAGTGTAGCTTATCATTCGCTCACCGGCTTGGTGATTCTTCATTCCTGGCGACAGAGACTGAACAGCAGAGGATCAGTAACAGCTGACACTACGAGTGGAAGTAGAATTTAGACTTTACCGCACTCGTGCAATCAGTAAAACACTCGAGACTTCAAACGTGCTTGTTTCCACACTAGACACTGCAATCCACAATACCTCCCAGTGAATTAAGCCTCCACTCATATCTCCACCGGGTTCCTTCATGCCGCTGGCTTGGGGTTCTCCAGACTTTGTGAGGAATAAACATACCACAAATTCTTTTCATTCGCGGCTTCCCTCCGCTGCCTTTGTGCCTCTCTCCCTGTGTCTTCACTCGACGTGTCTCTGCCTGTCTCTCCTCAAAATGGCCCTTTTTTTATACTCCACTTTGGGAGCATGTGTCCCAATCACCACTCCCTCCACACCTGCCGCTCATTTACTCAATCACCCGGTGACAATTTCAACGGAGAAAACTGAAGTCCGATTATTGCACTTCCTGTCTGATGGCTGAGCGACTGCGCAGGCTCAAACTGAGCGTGACGACAGTCTGACAGTTGTACATCTTCTAGTAGCGCTGGCAAGACAAATCTGAATCACCTAATTCCTCAAAAACGCTGTTGAAATATTTTGTCCCGTTGTTTTCATGGACTCTCTATCTATGGGCTTCTCCCTTGACTTTATGCCTCCATGTCCCCCCGATTGCCTCATTGACAGTAAAAGATTGCCTGCGAGCTTCTCCTCCTGTCTATACGGTAATGTCTCTATTGTGCGACATAAAGTCGCTTGGTTATGACGCAATCGTTAGCCTGTTTTGAACAAAAATGGCTTCTACGGGGTCATAACGTGAGATACAAAGTAATGGAGCCTTTCATACATTGTCGTGTTTATTTAGAAATAAATAATTGACAAATGAAGTCTTTGGACGCCTCAGATGTAAAGTTATTCGCTGTCAAAGTGACGCCAAAATGAATGGGAGTCAATGGAATGCTAACAGCAGGTGAAGTTCTGCTACAATGACGGCTCCCGCGAGGCTTCAACTTCCGGCTGATGGATTACCCCCTTGGAGAAAACCTAGTGCTGTAGACTACAGCACTATCCCAGACCTAGTACTGAAGGAAAATGAAAATTGAGCGGAAGTACGTAGGAGGGCGGAGCCAGGCTAAGCAATGTGATGAAACATGGTAAATCATACTACAATCCTGGTAAATCATTCTAGAATGTGGTATATCATGATAAATCATCCTATAACATGGTAAATCATGGTAAACTGGTAAATCATGCTAGAATCATATTAAATCATACTGGAATGTGTTCAATTGTGGTAAACCATGCTAGAACGCAGAGGGTAAATCATGGTGAATCATACTGGAACTTGGTAGGCTATATCATGGTAAACTATGGTAAATTATGCTAGATTCATAGTAAATCATACTGGAACATGGTATATCATGCTAAAACATGGTCTATTCCATCTATGATGTCAGTGGTTAAATGCTTGCTACATAAAACTTAATGTCTTTTGATGCTTGTGTGGTTAAAAATCTTAAATGCCTTAACTGCTTGAACACCGCTAAATGCTGCTTGCAGCTTTAATTTTATTTTTATCATTGTATAAAGAACTACTTCAGCTCTATGAAAATGTATGGTGTTTATATATATATATATATATACTGTATATATATAATTTTGTATTTATGTATATTAGCTAAAACTATGTTTAAATTAACATATTTGTTATTATTCATTGAATTATATATTTTATTTATAATCATTTTATTTAAAAATAGTGATTAGTTAATTTTATGGAACCAACTCTGTGTTTGTGAGTGTGCGTGCAAAAGAGCTTAGAAATTGTATTCAATGATTTATTTTTATTTATTTATTTTTGAAAATGTAAAAATGCCGTTTTCTGTGATGGTCGTGTTTAGGTGACCTTATAAGCATCCCATCAACGGGGGCGGCCTGAGGCATCACAGGTTCTAAATGTTTCATTGTTGCTCTCTCTCTCTCTCTCTCTCTCTCTCTTTGAAAACAGGCCTATATTTAAATGCACCCTTATTAATAAAAAATATACTTCAAGTTTAAGTCAAGTTTTTTTTAAGTCAAGTCAAAAACAAGCTCAAAATCTTCAAAAATGAATCAAAGGGCATACTCTCCCCTGGAGGTCATAGGCAGCATTGGCATTCCAATTTTCCAATGGTCATAGGTCATTTTCATCCCTGGAGGATAATCAGGGTCAAAGGTGACACCGGCCTGGGTGGTCAAGGTCAGTAGGGCACAACTTGGGTGATTCGGTGGGGGAGGGGAATTGGGCGTGGCAAGGTCAAGAGGTCACCACCAATAATTTTTGCATTCTGTGGACCTTAATAACTATGCTCATTCTGTGCAATATATAGTTTGTGTCAACTCAATATTTTGTCAAATCGTCAGCAAAAAATAGATTCGATGCCAAAATAGACAACACTGAAACGCTTTATTATTATTTTTTTCGTGCTCAACTGACAAACTTCACATAGGCTGAAAGTAGCAAGCTATCGTCAACTGTGGGGCTGCTGCTCTGTATAATAGTTTTTAAGAACATTGTGTAAATTGGTAAACTATTTAGCCTAGGCTACTAAAACGAACACCAAAACTTAACATGAACTGTTAAAAATTATAGCAATTTATGCAAAAATATATGGAAAGCTTGTAGCCTGCACATTTTTTACCTTGACCCCCTTCTTCTATATGGATCAAATTTCTGTTCTGATCTTAACGAGTCTGGGCAAACTAGTGTAACAGACACCAGCCCGTTACTTAGTTTAAACTGCAAGTACACTCCTCACCACTAGGGGTAGTAGGTAAACTCTGTGCTTAGATAAAGAAGCAGGTGAGCAGTAGAAGAAATTAGAAAATTAAAAATGATCGGAATAGCAGGTAGGATATATAATTGGATTAAGGAATTCTTGTTTAAGAGAATTATACATTGGGACAGCTGTATCAGGAAGATATATGGTAGAGAATGGTACTCCTCAGGGCAGTGTCATTAGTGCCCTACTCTTTTCCATTATGATTAATGATGTTTTTTCTCAAGTTCAGAGGGATATCAGACAGTCACTATTTGCTGATGACGGAGCCTTGTGGAAAAGGGGAAAGAACATTATTCATATTAAATTTAAAATACAAGAGGCAATTAATGTGGTGGAAAGATGGTCAATTGCATGGGGATTCAAGTTTGCAATTGAAACAACTAAGACAGTAGTCTTCACTAAAAAGAGAGGGGTCAATGCTCAGGTAAAGACGTATGGACAAAAGATAGAGCAAGTAAAAGTCTTTAGGTTTTTGGGTATGTGGTTTGATGAAAAGTTAACATGGAACGAACATATCAGTAAGATGAATACCAAGTGTAAAAGCACAAAAAGAACTACAAAATTCGACTGCTTTTTGGCATACATAGTTTTTCTTCGTTTGTGAAGTCTTTCATAAAATCATGCATCATACTCTACCTTGTCTGTGGCCATTGTTGATTCCAAAGCCGGTGCTGGATAAACAGCGAGCGTGCGCGTTCGACAGTAGGCTGTGGTAGGCTAAATTATTTACGACAGCGGTAATGGACAATTCCGCTTCCAACCTGTAGGGCGACCGCAGAGGAAAAGTTCCTTGGTGTTGCTTTAAAGAAGTTGGAGGTGGTGCAAGCTCAAGTCTTGAGACTCTGCTGTGGGACTGTAAAAACAACTCCTGTGTTTGCTCTTCAGGTTGAGGTGGGGGAAATGCCACTGCATATTAGATGTAAACAGTTAATGATGCACTACTGGGTAAATCTACAAGGGCATTCTGAGGATCGACATCACAACAAAGATACTTCTCCAATGTTGGGAGAGTGAAAGGACCAAACGGGGGTGCTTTGCATGGAAATGTGAGGAAATAGCTGGAGACATGACATTAAAGGGATACTTCAGCTCTGGGAAGATGAATGTGTACTTAATAGTGGTCATTTATATAGTAGAAATGTGAAATTATTTTTGAAATTGAAGCATTCTAGACTGAGAAAAGGCAGAAAATGTATTTTTACTCATGTGGCTGAAAGACAACAACTCCCAGAATGCACTTGCTTTGCTGCCCTTACGAGGCCAAGCCACTCCCTAACCACACCTACCGGTTACAGGCGGCAGTATCCGAAAAATTTCTCCACACATTCTCTAGGCTAATACATACTCTAGCAACAGTAAAGGTTTATAAAAAGAACCACAACCAATGTGAGTTATAACTTTTAATTAAACACAAAACATAATCCTCTATAGTGATTTTAATCCACAATGCAGCGTATGCAGATAGCTGCTGATAATACTGAAAGAGCTTATATGAATACAGTGGTATGCTTCGTATCCCTATAGGTAGACGTGGATCAGCTGAGAGTCAGCTGATGTGAGCTTGACTACCATGACTAGCCAGAACTGATGCTATACGCTTGATTTTTGTCAGTAGCTTTCATTGTCCACCAATCTATCATTGGCATTATAAACAATCTGTTCAAGTGCCTTTAGTATCAGAGCATCAATGTCATCCTCTGTGTCAATCTCATCATGGTAGTTCTTCACTGGGAAGATGTTTGTCAATGGCACACCAATTTTTTCACTGCACATATGAATCTGGACAGGAACAGAATGTTAGGTCAGAAAATTAGATGTGGCTATTAGACAGAATCAGATCAACATGGGCAATATATAGTTGCAATATATAAAATTGAAATGTGTATGTCTTTGGATGACATCACATACCTTCTCTTTGATCTTCTTGCTAGTGTAGATCTTCCTTAGATCCTTGTTGACCAGTGGACATGCTTCATCCACTTTGGTCATGACAATCACTTGAGGAATCCCTACAGCAAATGCAGAGGCAATACAGGTTCTAAAACAAGTTTTTGTCCTCAAAAAATTGAGTACATGGCAATTTGTTGTACATATATACATAACTGACCCACATATATTGTCTGGGTCATAAAAATAATTAAGCAGGATTTTGTCCACCTACGCATTGAAAAAAAAAAAAACACAAACCCCAACCCACTTTATGCCCACTTCTCTCTCATGTATGTGAACTCATGAATGAAAATCATAATCGAATATTCAGGGGTCAGATTTACCCTTATCACTGATTGCCTGGCGGATGATCTTCAACTTGTCAATAAGTTTATCATCTGTGAATTGGACTGCATTTGCGGCTACGACGTACACCAGGCAGAAAATCTGATCGGAGAGGGTAGGGTTATCGGTGTAATGTTGATCCTTATGAGTGAGTGCCTGCTCCTCATTGAACTAAGATTGGAAATTCAGCAAAATATGTTAAGCGTCAAACCTATTGCACACACACAAATTTTGTTAAAATGTTAATGTAGTGGTTTATTACTTTATAGCCGTCATTCACGTGGCCAAATACAGCATTGATGATGTCCTCTGTTTTTGACCCAGCCAATGCATCAGCTTCTAAGCCCATTACGTCCTTGAAGACGAACGGCAAAGATTTTGTCTCATTTCTGATGGTGAATCCTTTGAGCTAGTGAAAACCAAAAATATAGAGGCATAAATATTTGTAAACAATTTCCAAGAAATCCTAATTTGATTAACTAAAATGTTCAATGCTCAAGAGTAGGTCAATTTACATTTTTAGATCTTTTAGAAAACCGTATAGATGACAAATGCTTACATTTCTTGTGAAACTATGACTACCACCAGCAGATGAATTCACTAGCGCTCTAGCGGAGATCCGTCCTTGAAAGGCACTATTGATGGAGTTAATAAAGCTGGACTTTCCTGCTCCAATTTGTCCAGCTACCAGAATCTTGATGTCCTTTACATCTTGAGATCTCGGTGAGAAGTTTTCCAGCTTTTCTTTTAGGGCTTCTTTTTGTCTGTCAAATCAAAACAAAAATTTACAGAACTTCACATAAAGCTTCTGTCACCCCACGTTATTTTGCCATAGTTATGGACACCATTCCTAGTGGAGCTATTGCACTTCTAAGTAAAAAAGTTGCACTTCTAGTCTTCCCTAGTAAAAAAAAAGTATACTTTATTGTATTTGAAATATATTCCATTTTTCAATAGTACATTGCACTATACTAACACAATTTTTTACTATCTTTAAATATATTAAAATTATGTTGGCATCATGCTTTTACCTATTTTCACAATACAACTTTTAACACACTTTAAAATAATTGTACTTTAGTATATTTTCTAAAAATATACTTGAAGTGAAAATAGTTTGTTTATTAGAAATAGTTTATAGCCACTTTATTAAAAATATATTTCAGGTATATTTTAACTGTGTTCTGGAAATGATCATTGTAACAATGCATTGAAAGTATACTTTCAAAATACATTATAGTATACAATAGTGTTTTGTACAAAGTATAGCTAAGTATTATTTGTTTATTAATGTGCATTTGTTATTGAAGACAAAGGTTGCAATTTGTAGTATTTGGAATAAGATGAGGACAGAGACGTGAATAATACATTGATTGTCTTTTTATATATTGTTTGTTATATTGCTTGTTAAATTGATTTTTTTTTTGATTGAAATGAGGTTGAATTGAATTATGTTCTGTGGTGATGTCAGAACATCATATGTTGACCTGATAAGGAAACTGATCCTACTCTCTTCCATTGACCAAAGGTCTTGCCAGCCCATCTTGCGTTGTTCCACACTCTCCCATTTCATCCACTCTCCCTGCTTGGCCTGGGAAATGGCCTTTATACACCTCATCCTCTCCTCCTGCTTTCACACCTCGTTGACTACGAGCTTCCTCCTTTGAGCTGGGGCCTGCCTTGTGCCATTTAGGAGGAGCTAAACTGAGCCCAAAACCCCCTCTTCCATGCTGTACCTGTCCCACGATATCACCAATTTGAAGGGCAGCCTTTGCATCTTCCACAGATTTCTTTGCTGACCACTTTCTACAGTTTTTAACACAGGTGCTACCTCCCTTACACATTTGTCGCGTGACTCAACTAAGGTAATTTCCAGTCTGACCTTGGCGCACTTGACTGGCAGCTGCAATATTCCTTTACTATAAAGTCCCACTCTGCTGAGGCAGCGTGGAACTCCCAACCATTTTCTGATGTATGAACTTCCAGCTTCCAGCTTATCCACTGTTGTCAAAGAAACCTCGTACACAGTCAGTGGCCACAGCAACCTCGGCAGTAGACCAAACTGAAAGCACCAGAGTTTTAGTTTGCCAGGTAGAGCGCAGCTGTTTATGCTCTTCAACCCTTCCACTGCCTGTCGTCTAACAACTTCTCCCACTCGAACTGTGTCCTTTAGATCCTCATCGTACCATCCCCCAAGACTCTTCACTGGCTTCTCAGAAACTGTTGGTATTGCCTCACCATTAATGAAGAATGTTTTATCTACTACTTTGCCTTTAATTATCGAGATGCTCCTTGATTTAGAGGGCTTAAATTGCATTCGTGCCCATTCAATGTTATCGGTTAATTTACCCAATAACCGATTAGTGCAGGCTACTGTTGTAGTTATGGTTGTCATGTCATCCATGTATGCTCTGATTGGTGGTAGTCGCATCCCAGAAGCCAAGCACTCTCCTCCTACTACCCATTTTGATGCCCAAATGATTACTTCCATTGCCATGGTAAAAGCCAGTGGAGAAATGAATGCCTTTCTGAATGCCCTTGCCTTTCTCACAGCCTGCTCTACCTCTTTCCACTTAGGTGCACAGACCTCCATTTGGTATTCTGGTGGATTGATAGGTGGGATGTCTGACGGAATTGACATAAAGGCTCATGCGTTTTTTCATCTGTATGTGTTTCCTCCAAATATCTCTCCAGCTCAACCCTAGATGCTTTTAACGTGCCAATCTTCTCACTGGTGAATAACTTCTTTATGCATTTGAATGGGTCTTTATAGAAATTAGCCCTCGCACGTTCCTTCTTTTTGTAGCGTTTCCGTAGGCGCTCAGCTCTGCGTAATGTTGCAAGCTTATCTTTTATGGCCCTTTGTAAGAGATTGAGTCCCTCCTTCTGACTTTGTTCTGCTCTTTTCCATTGCTTCCTCAGCTGTCTCCTTTCTCTAACTAACCCTTCAATTTTCTGCTGCCGTCTAGACTTTCCAGGAGTAGTTTGTACTTTTTCCTTCCTTTTTTCCACACCAAACTTCTCACTTCCATATGCGTAAATGATGTCCCCAAATTTATCCAGCTTCTTTTCAACTGTACCAGTTAATCTTTCCAATGCAAAGCATAGATCTGTGTTTACCGTGTCCCATGCAGTTTTCTCACAAGCTGTTGGCCATCTAACTCCAGGCCTATGCCCGTTGAGGTTCTTTTCTCTCTTATGCTGGTTAGTCTGACCGGGTTCACAAGTATCAATATGTTCATCACTAACTGTGCAAACCCTCCTCTCCTCTATGACAGGGGTGCTGATATCCTGCAAACTGTGGTTTGCTTCCTGTCGCTGGATTTCATTCGACTGACTTGACTGACTTCGTAAGAAGTACTGATCAATGCGAGGCCCTTGTCCCTTCTCCCTCAAGCATTTCATTTTCCCTTGATGAATCTTCAAACCCCTGACCGTTGTCGCCTTGCTCCAGCCACAGACACAAGCTTGGAGTTTAATGTCTTTGCTAACTGCAGATCCTGAACTAGTCTTTTGTGAAGTACTCTCCATACTCATATCCGTTTCCATTCCAAAGTCGTTAACCATGTTGTCCAACATTGAGTCATCTTCCGCCCCCGCTCTCGCAGACTCTAGGGGGGTATTTAATTTCTTTAATTTCTCAGAAGCCTTGGGCGGGTGTCTCCAGCATCCTGTAAAAACAGAGCTGGATACTGCCGACAAGGGTAGCTAACCCTTACCAGCCCCATTGGAGTCTCCTTCCTCCTGTCAGCTGTCTCTCCAGTCTGTCACAAGGTCTTTCCCTTGTTGCCAGCAGCACTATTCACCGCAGTCACTGGACATATCCAGATCTTCTTCTTTTCCATTACACGAGAGTAGATGTTAAAACTTCATGCTGATTTGTACTCTGCTTTCGCCAAGATAAGCTCCAACTAAGACGTAGCTTTACAGCAGCCTATGCTTCTCCATCCATTTACACTTCTTTCCATATGGTGATGTGAATCTCCTTCTGTCTGGTGTTAATGGCTGCAATGTATTTGCATTTGTACAATGTGACTTTGAATATAATTTAGTGCTCCCAGCTTTGTAGCTGTAAAAGCAACAAAACCTTTTTATGTGGTTGGTCAACTTTGACTGCGAACAGCCAAGAAGTGACTTTTTTTATTGACCACTTAGACTCATCAAATGAAATCCAGTTTTTATTTTTCAGATTGCATATATAAAATATTATTGAATCACTCAAAATGAGGAAACCATTTTTATAAGCATATTCATTATTTATTATGCAAGTATGTTCGTGAATTACTCTGTTAAAAAAAAAATTGTAACTGTTAAATCAACATTAGGCATGGCCAAACTGAATTAATGGATTGATATGGTAAATGGACTGCATTTATATAGCATTTTCAACAGACCCATGGTCACCAAAGCGCTTTACATATTGCCTCACATTCACCCATTCATTCATCCATTCATTCACTCATTCATACACCAACGGCGGTGTCAGCCATGCAAGGCGCCATCCAGCTCATCGGGAGCAGCTGGGGTTGGGTGTCTTGCTCATGGACACCTCGACACTTCAGGTGGAACCGGGGATGGAACCACCAACCTTCCGGTTTGTAGACCCAAGGTTATTATAGTTTTGCTTTTTTAAATTAGTTTTTATTTCAATAAAATTTTCAATTTTAGTTAGTTTTAGTTAGTTTCATTAATGGTATTGTTAGTTTCAGTTTAGTTTTTATTTTGCAAACACATTTCTATTTAGTTTTTATTTTATTTAGTTTCAGTTTTAGTTTTAGTAGTTATAGTTTAGCAGAGCAAACAGAACACTTCCAGTGTAGACCAAAGCAAGACAAAGTTCAGCAAAGTTTAATGTTTGCCCAGATTACAGTTAACTCTTGTGCAGACATCTTAATAATAAAAAAAAATAATGGTTTAAGATTGAACAAAGCACCAAATAAATGGAACTTAAAAGTAGACAAGAAAAAAAAAATGAAAAATTCAGAAAAACTAATTAAGATGAAATCTTGTTAAACATGCCTAGTTTACTTTTTTCAGCTGTACAATGTAGCAGATTGATCACTGGTACATAAAAAAACAGCTTAATTCATCTGACTACAGCCAACACAACCTGCTGTGAAGCCAGTGTGATTAAATAATGAAGTATCTATGCAATGTGTGAGTGTGTACCATAGACTGTAAAAAATATGGACAAAGCGTCTGTGACGTCACCCATAGACTTTCTGAAGAACGGTTTTGAAGCCGTTTATGGGGGGTATGGGCGGCGCCATCTTGGGAAATCCTAACCCCGCCCACCTTCTGGCCAACCCATATGAGTTTCGTGCCTGCTTGGGGCTGTACAAATCGCCACACAATTGAAAACAAGTCTTGATGAATTATCTTTCACAAGCAAGACTGAACATTTGTTTCTGGTTGTATTTGGTCATGATATAAATAGTAATCGTAACGTTCAGAGGAGAAAAGCCGCGAAATTTAAAAATACTACTGTTATTGTGTCACGAAATGTAGTTTTAATAGTTTTTAAGTCGACAATGTAGTTGTTTAAAGCCAAAATCTGTGGTTTATTTATAAAGATAGCGCCTATTTAAAAATTTGATCTGACGTTTTCGGAGTTGAGATCCAGGGATCAGCGCGCGCTCAGCGCTCATGTACCCCCCCTGGAACAGCCTGCCCTCCATCGGCTAGAGCTTCTGACGTGTGCCGCTGGCTCTGATGTCTCTAGTCTAGTGGTTGAACATGAGATATAATTCGTCTTGTGTATATC